TGGATAAGAATGGAAGACATTTTCTCCCTTGTTGATACAAACTCTTTCCAGATTGGCTAGTTTTCGCCGACAAAAAATGGGGCATACTGTCTTCCTTGCTATCTTAGTTAAAAAAAAAAAAAAATTCGGGGGCAAACCCCCGGGAGGTTCCACACCCCATGTTTTCGCTCCCGCAAGATTAAAATTTTGGCTACATCCCTGGTACTAGCTCCACCACTATGAATACCTCACATACTCGGCACTAGCTTCAACTTACGATTGGCCAACATCTGTTCGATGTTAAAAAAAAAATGTAATTCTTGAGGGGGGTTTGAAGTGTTCAAGTACTCTCATCACTAGCTCCAAAAACTGATGAAACCAAAGATTTTTCTTTGGTGGCCCATTATCATTTTCTTTTTGACTGCACTGCACTGGTCTTAGTTTAAAATTATCTACTTTTCAAGCCACCAACAAACAATGGAAATGACAAAATTCAGGGATCCTACTAATTAATTAGTGCTATCGGAGTATTATGTTTTCTAAGGATTCCATTCACGTATTCTATCACACTATCAATGTTTGATACTGAGACGTTTTCCTTTGAAAGCCTTATACCTTAAACCAAAAAGGTTTGCAACATAAGCTCCAAACCTTTCAAACACTTTGTATACTTTTCCCTAATCTTTCAATCATTGCAGGCGTCACCTTTCAAACGTAGCGATTGTAGATCAGCTAACTGGGGCGTCCATTGGTGGAACTCAACTGAAACTTCAATACTATGTAGTGCCTTTGGTTGGTCTAGTTTAGTGATAGCGATAGGTCAGCTTGGTTCGCTGTAGTTAAGATCCAAATGGATGGATTTCATCAATATTTCTTTTAGTTGACCAAAAAAATAAGTCTGGCCATCTTTTTACTAATTTCAAAGGGGTAAGAAAGATAGTAATCTTATATGTACATAAAGTGTCACATAATAATTTGCATACAAATGATGTGGTGAGATCTAATTGAACCAAAATTTCTTCAACTAAATAAAAAAAAAATTAAAAGTTAAAAAAAAATTTCCACTCATTTCGATACCTCACATCTATATAAATCATTTTATAACTTTTTTTTTTTATGTACAAGTAGCATTATTCAGAATATGGTGATATTTGTTTTCTTCTTTTGGTATTTTCATGTAAATATTTTAATTGTTTAATGTGCTAAATATAAGATTACTATTTTACCCTTTTGAAAAAAAAGAAAAAAGAAGATCAAACTCATTTGTTTGGTCAACCAACATAAATATAGATGGAATCCATCTATTTGGACTTTAGCTACTAAGATTTGAAAGGTTGTGGGTGATAATTGCAACGATTAAAAGGTTAGTAAAAAATCTACAAGTATTTGAAAGGTCCGTGGCCTCTATTGCAATTGTCACAAGAAAAATCTATAAAGTAATCAAAAGGAAACTACTACTTTAGTTGGTGAAGAAGTGAACCATTCTCAAATTGGGCCTATAAAAAATACTAATTTTTATTATTTTAGTGGAGGCAATGTAATATTCCCCCACACCTAAAGCAAAGTTTAGTGTTAAAAACAAAGGAGGTCTTCATCACAAGCCTTGAGGTGGTGCTGTGAAGCATTTATTGTTCGCTCCACTCTGAAGCCCTCAATTGGGTTTCCTACAACAATGCAAACTGTGATTAGTAAGTCAAATTGTCTAACAGGTGGTGAATGTCCGTTAATACGGGTAAACCATCAATTTATTATTATTATTATTATTATTATTATTATTTTTTCAATAACCACGCAAATTTCTGAAAATCAATTAGCAAAACTGAGAGTCCACTTTACATTACATGGATCTATACCAGTGCAACCTTGACATGATATGAATCTTAAACATCATCATCATCTAATATAAATGCAATTTAGATTAACATTTGGAACCCTTTTTCGAAACTAGGAACAAGTAATCCCAATGAAACAATGAAACACGGCAAAATGAAGCACATCATAATAAACATGATACGCTCATTTTAGAACTCAACTGAAGTTCGCTCTACATCAAGAATCGACTGCCCATTGCCTCAGTTCAATAACTTAACACAACGAAATGACCACAAACTGCAAAACATAAAGACTTCATCTCCTCCTCTTCTTGCTTCTTCCCAATTGTCCCGATTTAAATGCATGCTCTTGTTCTTGGAGAAAAGCTTTAGCTTGTCCATATTTTTCAGCTCTTTCTTCTGCCAATCGCGCCTTGTCCTTTTCTTTAACCTCCAACAAGAAGTAATTATCTTTCCGCAATTCACGGGCTGCACCTTTAGCTTCCTGTCTTAAAAGTTTCTTTAATTTTTTCCTTTGAGCTCGCTCACGATCTGGATCATAATCTCTTCCCTTTACAAAGCTGCATTTGAATAATTAATCACAGAAAAATCAAGTCAGCAGATGAAATGAAACGGCGGAATTTTATGTAAATGAGCAAATGCAGTTGAATGTGGGAATTACTTTTCTTCGAACTTTGGAACTTCAGTTTTAATAATCTTTGGCTTTCGCATTCTTAATGGTTGGCGCAGCAAGTGGTATTCCTGTGCTTTCTTCTCAATAAGTTGGGCAACATCTTTGATTTGAACCAGTAATGCATCTGGTAGGTGATCTTGTTTTGCTAATTCACTGAGTAGTTTTGAAACCGGCAAGAATATCTCTGGAAAGGATTTAAATCCTTCATAAATGTTGACAAATCCTTTCAGTGTTTCAATAATAGCAAAAAGCGCACTGGACCTGCAAGTAAAAGCTTAACACTCAGAAACTAACACGCACCAGATAGCCACCATCTGTATTAAACTCTGAATAAATACTGCCATTAAATAGCTTAACCTGAAAACGTCAGAGCTGAAATAAGGTGAGTCATCTGGCAAGTCCATTAACATTAGGAAATCCAATGTATTGATCTCGCCAACATGACCTTGCAAGCAGAGCAGTGGCCTAAGTGCTTTAATTTCCATAAGACGATACAACTGCAAAACAATAAAAAAATTAATTGATTATTCTCTTTGCAAATAAGAAAGAAGAGGAAGCTTTTGTAAATAGTCTGCAAGCAACTGCTATGACAGGACTTTTCAGGAAAATAAAGATTCTGACATGTACATTAGAGCAGAACATTGGAACAGACCTTAGAATCTTCAGACGGTCCTTGTTTTTTATCAAAAGCTGCTATTAGCAAAGTTTGTATGAACATTATTGCCTCAGGGCAGAACTTTTGAGAATGTCTACTAATCTGCAGAACATTTTTTACGACTATTAACCACAATCTTTAAAAAGATCCAAAAAAAAAAAATTTAACAGATATTATTGAAATTTAATGTAATGGTTAAATGTAAATCTCATAAGACCTGATCTAAGGAAACTATATCTCAAGCCAACACCAATAAAACAATTTCAATATACACAGATAAAGCTTATATCACTTAATACAGAGATTAAAGATCAGAAGCCACTGGTAAAGCACACTTCCTACACCTAATTTTTTTTTTACTGCTCCTAGTAACAAGTTTTCAACGTCACACTGAAGATGAAAACTCGCCAGAAATAGAAATTCAGAGTGAGCATATGAGATATTTAGGATCATTAATCAACCACAATTCCACCAGAGATGTTTCCAATCTCAATTTAAAACAAGAAAACAAATTGATGGGTGAGTAATGAGCAAGTGAAAACAGATTATGTTCTAAAGTGAAACAAAGAAAGCCTAAAGGAAATTCAAAGCTCTGGCAACAAAAATTTGGAAGACCATGCCAAGTTCTTTTTGATTATATGGAATATCTGAGCTAAAAACACACAGAAACTAATTAAGGCTGAATGAACTTACAGAAAGCACCATAGAGCATAAGAAGGAACCAATTGTGATATCCCGGCCAGACATTATAGGGCACCGCATAAGGTATTCACACATCATCAAGATAGCAGGTGTCATGACCACATGACGAAAATCAGAGCATGGAAAAATCATCGACCACAGCCTCAAGAGAAATAGTGTCTTCAAAGAAGGCCAACTGCTTTTCCCTGTCATGCAGGAAGAGTGCAAGAACAGATCCAACAAGAAAAAAATGAGAGCCATATTTTAGCAAAAATAGTTTCAGAACCAGAGGGCTGCAAAATTGGAAAAATCAGTGTGTTTTATTCACAATAGCCAACCTGTATTCTTAATATCCTCACAAAACTGGGTCCGAGTGTGAACCAACCTTTGACGAGCACATATTGCTGCAAAGTATGGGATCTCTGAACTCATTTCCATCAGTGGCTTGACAAGCAAATTTAGTAGTTTGAAATTCAGCGGCTTTTTATTAGCCAAAACAGCAAAGTATTGCAATAACACACCATAAAATACCTGAAAGGAAATTTGAGTTTATCAAATACTGATGCATATGGCCACACACATGCTATTTTTGGAAATTCCAAGTGTACTGCATTGTTGCTTTCTACAGTAAGAGGCATCTGATGATGATAGCATCACACGTACTATGCATCAATATATGAATTTAAAAATTTCCAGGTAATTATTCCCTATTTGAAACAGCTAATAATACTGCTCCAAATTCGTGAAAAGTTTCATTCTTGTAAAAATGTGGATATGAAATGGATATGTACAGAAATATTATGTCACTCAAAACAAGCAAAGGCAACAAAGTTCCATACTTGAATTTTCTTCCTATTCTCTGCAGCAACAGAAATTGCATTAAATGTACGAATTCGCCGGATAGCTTCAACAATTTGATCATCAGAACGATTCTCCAATAGTGCGCTAAATTCTTCAAAGGTTTTAGGAGCCTCAATTGTATAGGGAAGTTCCCCTTGTCCAAGTAAATCCTTTTTGATATTCGTTTTCACTTTGCGGGCATCCAAGCTGTCCTTTTGTTTTCCGTTACTTCCTGATGACATCTTATCGTTTGTCATCTCCACATGTATGCCAATATCATCTTCTTTTTCTTCTTCATCTCCTCCTCCTCCATCCTCTGAATAACTGTCACCATTGTCATCATCACTTTGCTCCCAGTCCTTGAGAGATTGAGTTTTGTCATATTCATTACCATCCTCATCAGACCCTTCGTCCTCATCATGGTCCTCGTCATCTTCTGAATCTTCAGAAGCATCATCATCATCGTCACTCTCAAGATCATTATCATTCTCACTTCTCAAGATGTCAGCAATCAAGCCCAATTTAGTTTTTGGTACTGCATCCTGAGAGAATGAATCACCAAGATCATCTCCAGATATTGATCTTAGCTTCTTAGAGGAAGCTTCCTTATCTTCGGAAGCATCAGAATCTTCATCACTGGAGTCATCACCGGCAAAGATCCTCTTCTGACGTTCTTCCTGAAATTGAATACATAAAGGGCAGTAACTCTTAAAATAGTGACTTTCATTTTCAATTTTTGTTCCACCCAAAAGTAGTCACCTCCCATGAAACTGAAAATTCAAGAATTAATAATACTTAAATGCTACCATGCTGATGGGTGTGGTTATGTAGAGCATCATTTTGCAGTTTCATAAATATATTTTCTATATGCCAAAGAGACCACATTGCAAGAAACATTAAACAACGATGGTGGTGGTGGTGGTGGTGGTTGTAATAATAATAATAATAATAATATCACCTAAGGAATGTATGTGTAACCATCAAAATCATATGACCAACATTACTATTCTGCAACTAATCACAACTCCCCTAATATGACCTCATGTACCAAAAGCAAATGCCAAGAGAGAAGGAACGAGGGGGTGGGGGTGTTTGATGTACTGAAAAAACTGAAAGGGCTCCATCTTAAATCAAATACTGAAAAAAATCAGGGACTTTTTGGTTTATAATTGTATCAAATTGACTACGTTAAAATTGTGACAATACCATCCTTGATCTTTCGGCAAACATAACCCCACAACAAAAATGTATGTATCACATGTACCTCCAACTTCTCCAAACGCTCTTTCTCCTCTTGAGCAACCTCTTCAGATGTCTTTGTACGGTCTGAAGGCCGAGCACGCATATCCATTACCATCTCGCCGACAAGTTTGTCATATGAATCAGGTTTTTCCTGCCAGGATCAGTTAACAGCATATTTTATGAAAGCAAAACATAATTTAAGGGAAGAATTTTAGAATGGCATGGTATAGATTATAATAGCAGGAAAACATCAAATATTATAATAAAAGATTTCCAAATGCCCGTCAACGTTTGCAGGGCCATAGAAAGTACCATGAAACAGAGTTTACCTGTTGAGAAGAAAATTTGTCCTGGGCAGCACTGGTTCCTTCTTTCTCTGCATGATAAACAGAAATATTCTTGTTTACAAGAGCTTTCAAAGCTTTCATTTTGTTGGGTTGTGTCATTGATAATAATGCCTCGGATTGAACTAAAGATGCAAAATCTTTGTCCAATTGTTCAATGAACTGTTCATTTTCTTCTTTATCCTTTGCTTTTTGAGCCTACGGAGAATGGAATAAGACAGAAATATAAGACATTGAACTAAGAAATCTTGGCAAAAAATAGAATCGATTACATGAAACATATCACCCATTACCTTGAAAAATTTGCTTTTTAAAATAATCTCTTCCATCACCTCTTTCTTGCTCTTCGGCATCTGCAGTAAGAAAGATGTAAAATCATCAATAGAAGAAATTCATTGGTCTTGCTTTGATGATAATACAATACTTTCTTCAGTTACAAGTGATTTAATGTCATGATTGGATTCATGGACAACTCCTAGATGACAACAAAAACATAGGATATGACAGATATCAAAAACAATTCAGCAGTTTCCATACCAGAGAAAGAAGAAATATTGCATAGTAACATCACTTTCCCCAAGTTAAATGGAAACGAACACTTCCAGCTCATCTAGCAATTTTGAAAATCTAACATAAAGAGACAAGTAAATGGGAATATAACCTTTGCCTCTGAGAAAAAAAGTGTCAGATACTTAATCGTAACAGATTGAAGATCGACGAATGATGCTTAACAAGGTTAATAATATTGCTTCTTGAGGTAATGGGACACAATCCATATAGGCTGCATCTTCTGACCCCCACCTAGCACATCATTTCCAGCATCCCACGTACTGGAAAAGGGGGAATAATTTTTCAAGGATTAGGGGAACAAAATTATCAAATTGGATATTCTTTCCCCGTATCAGCTGTATCTTCTGACCCCATTTCGTCATCCCCTATACCATAAAGGGGGAATACTTCTCTATTCCAATTGGCCAAATCTCTTATCTCAGAAAACAATTATATGACAGTTTTGACTTCACCATGATGCTGACCCCCAAACTAATTACTCGACCAAGATATATTTAATTTCATCAAAAGAGTAAATGTTTCCAACAAATTGTTTAAACTAATCAGAATTTGCAGAAACACATTCTACAAAAAAAATTAGGAAAGAAATGTCAGATCAATAGATCAACAGAGGTAGTGTAGTTTCCACATGTTTATATAACTAAAACAAGATAGAGAGGCAGCAAGAAATTAACTTTCTTTCCTTCTTTTTACTGATTGTCAGAAAATTGATGATAAACCTTTTCAAATCATTTAAAGAGTTAAGTGATGCCTAGTTTGCCCACGTACACAGAGCCACATATGATGGCATATTTATAATCAAGTATGGAAGTATTTAAACTTGAATGAACAAATATCTACAGCATGGATATTGCCATATTGGCATGCCAACAATTATTTCCACTTTCTGCCATTCCTGTTTCTCCAAAGTAGAAGGGAAGAAATGTGAATAAGAGTGATTCTCATGATGAGTGGAGGATGGAGAGAAATTAGGAAATGGAACATAGGCTCAAAATTTTGTAATTATTATACTATCCAAAAATCCGACATAATACTGAAAAGATAGTTGGAGGTTGATATTGGTAAATTGAATTACTTACATTTTCCTGTGCCATGAGTCTTTCTTCTAGATCACTCTCTGCCCCATGGAGATCAAGTTGTCCTAAAATAGTTGACCTCTCTGCACAAGAATGGAATATTAGCTTATACAAAGGGAAGAATGAAGCAGAGTATCAAATAATGAAATAATATATCCACTCCTAATCAATCATCAGTTTATGAACTCTGACTGAAAAATGCTGACATAAATGATTATTAAGATATTGATTGAAAAGATATATTCATAATTTCACTAGAAAGAAAAATGCGTACTTCACTTTATCAAAGTCTATGATGTTAAGCCCCTGTTTGACACCCATTTTTTATCTCATTCTCATTCTCATTTTTCTACAGTACTCATTTCTAACCACACATTCTTCAAATAAAATAATATTACACATAAACCCAAAAATTCTTCTTACTTTTTAACCACACATTCTTTACATCAATCACTATTCAAAAACTCATTCTTCAAAATAATGGGTGTCAAACGGGGGCTAAATCTGACAATGGGAACACTTTAAACACCAGCTAATTACTGCTAGAAATAACATCCATTCAGAAGGTATAGTTACCATTAAAAGGTGACAAAAACCAAGCAGTTCATAATTTTTAACTCCACTAAAAATGTGCTCAATGTCATTCTCTACCGAGACAAGTATAATTGCATCTCGTGCTTTGCTCAAGTAATTTCTCATGAACAAGATAGTGACAATAAATCTTCACTACAATCATGTCCAATATACTTTCCCAAAATAAAGTCCAATATTTGTGTAGGAAAACCTTGGAAAAAATTTTGGTAGGTCTGTTGCAACTTTGCAACTAAAATGGGTAGATAATTATCCAATTTTAGTTGATTATATAGATTACTGATGGACGGTTGTTGGAACTAAAGAAGCAATGTGAAATATTGTTTGGCAGTTATATTATGTAATGATTAATTACCCAGATTACTGTTCAAGATGGTTAGGACATTTTGAATAATTAACTTGTCAGTAAGCCAGGAAATTGATTGAGCAGTGTAACAATATAGAGTTAGGGTTCTGCAAAAGGTATGAACCAAAGGTGTTTTAGAATGCAGTAACGTATAGAAAAGAGAAGAAGAAAGTCTAGACATCATTAATCTTTATCCCATAGGCATCTCATGTAGGGCTAAATTCCATCACACAATCTCAAGAAATCTTCAAAAAGACAAAAAATATTAAAACACAGTCACTATAACTCTGAAGACTTCATATATTTAAAGACTCCAAGAGATCTCCTGTTACTAGAGGCAGGCTAGCTAAGAAACCAGTTAAATAGACAACGAATTCTAAACCACTTAGAAGAACCAAAACATTAACTTGCCCCATGTCAGCTCAAGACATTTTAGAAAATTCTGAAAGTTACAGAACATCATAAAATAACAAAAATTACCCTCCTCCAATATCATATCAAAAAAATAAATAAATAAATGAAGAAATGTTTTTAGCCTAATCTAAGAGTTAACTAAAGATAAACACTTGGTTTCTCTCTCTCTCTCTCTCTCTGTTTTTTTTTTTTTTTATATCAAAAAAATAAATAAATAAATGAAGAAATGTTTTTAGCCTAATCTAAGAGTTAACTAAAGATAAACACTTGGTTTCTCTCTCTCTCTCTTTCTCTCTGTTTTTTTTTTTTTTTTGGCAAAACTGGTTTAATGGTTATTAGAGTAGCCAAGACGAGCCGAACCTAGCTTGACAGCTCCAATCTCACCTATATCTCTCTCTCTCTCCCTCCCTCCCTCCCTCCCTCTCGGTAATACCCGTACCTATGGCCTAATTTTATTAGTTTAGGTTTGGCCCGTTATAAAAAAAATAAAATAAAATGGACACGATTAATATTTTAGCCCAATCAATTACATAAAAATCCATTATGTGAAATTATAGCCCACACCTTTTTGTTTTATTTTTGGTCTTAAGCCCAAGTAATTAAAATCTTATTTAATTTTAATTAAATAATGGAGATAATGTTTTAATTTTATCTCTTATAATTAGATTGACATTTTAAATAATTGAGATAAAATCAAATTCCTATTAAGATAATACTTTAATTTTATCTCTATTTTATTTAATGTTAAAAGATAATGGAGATAATGTTTCGATGTTATCTTTTTCAATTAAAATTGAAATATTAAATTATAAAGATAATATTTTGATTTTATCTCTACTTTATTTAATTTTAGAAATTATAGAGATAATGTTTTTCTTTATTTTAAATTCATTATCTTATCCCATTAGCTGAAATATGATTGAGATGATTATAAGATTCTATCACTTTTAAGATTCAAAATTCAATTGAATTAGAACTCTCAAAGCATGGTGGTCCCTATAAATAGGTATCATATGTTCCATTTTCAAGTACATTCAGTTCTCCGTGAAATACACACAAATACAAATATAGTATATTCTTTAGTACATGGGTCAAGAGCTAAAATCCCAATTACAGTATTTCTCTTATCAAACATAACTTTTCCTGTTGCTTTTTATTTTCAAGGAAAAACATAGAAAGGATACTTAGAACTAGCAAAGGAATTCCAACTAAGGTTGTTCTGATTTGATCCACACAAGAGCCATGGAAGTTTGTATTCTTTTAATCTTTCGAAAATTAATAAATCTACGCTCTGCATATGAAAAAGAAAAAAATTGAACATATGGATATAAAATTTCGACTTGTAAGGTAACTTTTGAGTACATGAATTAGGAGAAAAAATGAAACAGCAAAATCATGCAAAAGGAAGGGGTACATGGTCTGACATATGAAATGTTTTATAAAATGAAAATAAAGATTGCAAAAATTAAAAGTAGGCATTGACCAGTTTTGTACTTGAGTTCAACACAAGCTAGGGCCATGTAGAAATCAGTTCAAAAAAGATTTATTTCCTTAGAGAAGTATAGTAGGCACAAGTTCATTTCAATTTCTGAACTTTTCAAAAAGACATTATAGATCATACATAATTGCTTACTCTTGAGCCCTTTTTATCTGCATTATCGTACATCAAAGTCAGTTACACCAACCTCATTCATATTCTCAACTTGTAAAAATGTACTCAAAATTTTAACTAAGTTCAATACACAGTTGCAGAACTTCATAACGAAGAAAAATATATCAGAGTACATAAAAAACATGCATCCTATAATCAAGAATGCACACTTACTCTCACTCCCAGATGCTTTGCCTTCCTCATCCTCATCGAATGGTACTTCATCCTCAAAATCATCCCTTTCTGGAAAGGAACCACTGCCTTGAATGTCAAACTCGTCTTCTTCCCCATCAGATAGATTATACTTGCTTTTCTTCTTCAATTTTAACTGACAATAGGAAGAAACATACGTAAATACCATAAATGAGAACAAAAGATTAAGCTATTAACCTATAGAATAAAGCGAGAAAACTTTCAAGGAAACTCACCTGCCGTTCACGTTGAGACCTTAGAATTGCCTTATCAAACTCACCAAGCCCCTCACTTTGCTCCCCAATTCTCTTATCCACAAATGCTGAAGATTTCCCACTCTGCTCATACTCCTTTAACAGCGTTTTCTTCCTCTGAATTCCATGCCAAACAGCACAATTGACACTCCAGTGTAATTCATTTACACACACACAAATAATACAAGAAAAGGTTCCAAATGCAGATACAGACGTATAGGACAGATCGACAGAAACACAAGTACGTGGACATTTCACATGGTTCCTTTATCCTCAAAGAGTTGCCATGAATTTGTAAACCCCTATCTAATCATAGAATTGAAACAGATCATGCAGAACCACTCAATTGCAAGCAAAATGATAAATTCAGAAATCCAACATTCATTTTAGCTTCCCAACCTCTCACCTTTATGAGACCAAAATGTTGAAATCTCAATATATATCACTAAAAGACAGCCTTTTACATCAAACTTAGTAGCATTCCTCTACTTAAATCACTATTTTAAATTGCATAGCTTCTTTTATTATTATCAAGAATGGAGGATTTAAACAATAGGTAATGCAAAGGAATTCAGTAGTAGTACAAATGTAGAAGTGCTAGAGATATTCAATGTCACCAGAACACACTTAACACCAAACACGTCTGAAGAAACGTTCTCTACAACAGTTGTTAAGCCAACCATGTTGTACTTACAGAGTGTTGGGAAGTCAAAAGGATAAAATATTCATATGATGGAACTATTATCACATAATAAATTGATAACAAGGCGATCATATGGAGTTTTCTTATGACGCGAGACCAGAGCTCATGCACACATAAATAACACAATAAATGAATTCAATTAGCAGAAACATAGATAAATATCGCCGCCTAGCACACAGGCACATACAAATACGTAGAAATATATAAAAAAACTGAACCTTTTCAATGGCTATGGAGCGGGAGAGCCCAACACGGCGTTCTTCACCCTTTTGCTTCTTACCCAAGATATCGAATTTTCTACGCGACCAAATGCTTTCAAAAGGATTTGGTTTTGGAACCTTGCTTTTCATTGCTACAGAATTCAGAGCACTCAAATTGTTCTTCATCTTCATCTTCTTCTTGTTTTTCTTTCTCATTGCACTCCCATTGCTTGTTGATTTCGACTTCTTTGCCATGGTTTTGGTTAACAGCTTTCTGTACCTAAGAATTGAGGTTTTACGGTTACAGAGTAGGGTTTTAAGATTTTAGGGAAGACCGTGTTTGGAGAGGACAGATCTGGATGAATGGGCTCATTTGCTGGGCTTTAGTAACGGGCTTAAGGAATTACCCATCATATAGTTGATTTCCAAGCACCATGCACGACTAGATTGGCCCGCACAGACAGACACAAAAGTACACCCATATGCTGCTGAGTATGGTTTAAGTCAATGAATTGAAAAACTCTCTTTTTTCGATCTTGATTCGCGTAGAAATTGAACTGAAGAAACCCGAAAATGTCAAGTTAGGATCACTTGATATGTATTGAATGCAAATTTCATTCTTGATTTTATATAAAAAAATTTACTCTGTTTCAATTTCATTTTCTTCTCCTAAAACTGACTTTATAAAATTAAACATAAATTTTAACTGCATATTATATAGGACCCACAAGTACTGTTCACTTATCAATCACTCATCTTTTGAAATTAGCAAAATAAAATGACGACCGAGTAGAGGCTTTTTTCTTTTTTTTTTTCCTTTTAGCTAAATACTCGAATACTATAAGGTTGTTTGACAAAGCTTTTTATATAAGTTTTAACTGATTTTGATAAAAGTGGATGACACGTGTGGTTAAAAAGTTGATAGAGTTTGTAGATCCTATAAATATTTGGTTAAAATAACTTTTTAACAATTTTTTAACTTTCCCTTACTAGCATGCATTTAAGGTGTTTTTGTACAAAGGCATTTATTCGTGATAATATATGTGTAACAAAGACATTTATTCGTCTAATTTTTAATAGTTTAGACCTTTAGGTTTAGAATATACCATGCATTTAAGGTGTATTTGTACGTTGTATACCCTATAGTGACTCAGTTGAACACTAATTGAAATGTAATGACCTAATTGAGATTCAAGATTATTATAGTGACTATAGAGTTCGTCTAACAAGATCGTTGAAAAATATTAAGATGAAGAAATAAGTTTCAAAATTGAAAGTAAAATGGAATTAAAAGTGTCGAGTTGACATAATTGTAACGTCGCATGATAGACACTGTGATTTAACAACTACGTCATTGTTTGACATTAGTCTATGTCTCGAAAATTGGACGGGTTGATGAAAATTGTGACCAAATTAAGTCCCAATTTGATAATCATTATTTCAAAACTCTTTATTCTATATACTCATTTTCAATTACACATTCACATAATAAAATATTTTACACATAATTTTAAATAATAGAATAGATAAAATACATTAAATTATAAATTTAGAAACAAATGGAAAATATATTAAAGAAGTAATTCATAATAGATCTAAAAGACTATAGCGAAATTATAGAAAGATTAGAAGATAAAATTATCGATACAAATAATAGAATAGATAAAATACATGAAATTAGAAATTTTAGAAACTAAGGGAAAATATAAGGATTAGAACAACATAAACCAAACATACAAATCAGTACATAGAAGATTTTAAAATACAAATTATTAAATTTAAAAGTGATAAGATCTTCTAATAGTCAACATAGATGAGCAACTTTTATGGTTAGGAATCAAAGTAAAATTAAAAGAGGAAAAGCTAAAATTGTTATAAATTACAAAATAGTTAATGATAATACTATTAAATATGGATATAAACACCAAATAAAAATAGGTTAATAAATAAAATACAAAATAGTAAAATATTTTCAAATTTTGATTGTAAATCTGGATTTTGACAAATAAAAATGACAAAAGATTATATTCATTGAACAATTTTTACTACACCACACCGTCGTTTAGAATGGTTAATCATCCCCTTTGGATTAAAGATTACGTCATCTATTTTTCATATAAAGATGGATACTATTTTTAATTCTTTTTTCATTTTTTTGTGTGTATGTAGATGACATTTTAGTGCAAAGTAAAAATCAGAAACACCATATGAAACATTTAGAAATAATTTTAAATAAATTTATCGAAAATTATTTAATTATTAGTAAAAGGGAAATGGAAAGAGATAAACAAAGAACTGAATTTTTAAAAATAATTCTAGGAGAAGAAAAAATTCGACTTCAACCCGATATTTTACAAACAAATTTACAGTTGCAGATAAAATTGAAGAAACCTAACATTACAAGTTTTCTAGAAATTTTGAATTATGTTACATTTTATTAAAGACATAGGAAATAAAGTAGGACCCTTATATGGTAAGCGATCAAGTAAAGAAAATAAATATTTTAATCAAACAGATATACAATTAGTTAGATAGATAGAAGAAGAAATTAAAAACTTAACACCTTCAGAGTTTTCTTTAGATAGTGAATATAAAATAGTAGAAATTGACAGATGGGAAGGAATTTTATATTCCAAACCAAATAAATGTAGTGATAAAAAAGAAGAAAAAATATGTAGATATGCTAATGAAAAATATATAACTAGCTTAGATTATGAAAAAATGACTATAATACATAGTATAGAAAGTTTTAAACTATTATTAAATACTGAATTTACTATTAGAATAGATTGTGAATCAGAGTAAAATTTATTAAAAAGATTAATTTTGATAAAATAAGGCACAACAAATGGTTAAAATTATATGAAATATTAAATAGGTATAAAGTCAATATAAAACATATAGACAGAAAAAACAATATTGTGGCAGATAATTTGAGTAGGCAAGTAATTAATTATCTAATCAATTATTTTCAACCTAAAAAGAGAATTAAAATTCCATGATCGGTGGAGAGGAGCATCTCAAAGTATGAGGCAAAGGATCAAGCGGTATAACTTTGTTTCACCACAGATTGGGTTTGAGAGCCGAATGATGAGTCACTATCCAGATATTAATGATGGGCTAACAAGGATCTGTTGGATAATCCCTAGATGACACATGACTCTAAACAAAAATCTAGATAGGAAGACTAAACTTAGTATCAAATATTCAACAAAAATAGTTATAGTTAATGGCTTTTCAAAATACAGATGGCGAACCATCAGAAAATTAGTCAGATATATAAAAGAGTACATTTTCGAAGGAAATAATACTACTGAAATGGATGTTGCTATTGAGGAATGCATACATGGAGATGATAAAAAGATAAAACTCAATACAGTAATCCAATAATAATCATCAATATACGGGAATTCAAAGATAATGGTATAATAACCGAATGTCAATCATCAAAGACAATTAATAAATAAAGAAGGAAAAGACAAACATGATTTTTTTTTTCAAAAGTTAGATTTGTTGACCTATGGTTGGTTATCACATTAATATTTTGAACATAAGAAACAAGTTAATCTTGTTTACACATTAAATTCAAGGGATTATAGTTTTCGAAAGATACATTGAAAATTTAATTAATGGTTGAAAGTTTATTAAGTTTGACCTTACGTGCGAAATTATACAATTAATAAGCAACAAGTCACTTTTTAATTGTTTCTAGATGATTAGTCAATCAATTCAATTATTCTATGTTGGATTGTCGCTACTTATATGGAAAAATAATAAATAACACCAATATTATTGACAGAGAAATCCAACTGGGTAAAAATTCCGGGACCAGGCCAATTACCTCAACTATAGTCAATATGAATTTACAGTAAGATGCTGACTAGCCAACTCCACTAGACTTCCCGATCCAATTCCTATAACCTCCAAGATCAACTGGACCCACCAGCTCCCATTTTTCTGAAGTTGTCTCTTCCAAGTGGAAATCCAAGAACTCCCCATTCTTGTGCTTTTCCTGGGCTTGTAGTCCAACATCTCTCAACCTCCAGGAGCCTCTGAAGTTCAACTGAGAAAATACATTCCTAAGGGTGTTTAAGAAGTAAGTGTTTTGGATTCAATGGATTTGATGTTTTTCCCTAATCTGCGATTGTATAATCTCAAGAGTAAATGGATTAAATCAATACATGAACATGCTATTGAATCTCCAAAGAATAATATGAATATGTTATAAAGAAGATGCACAATGAACAACTCCCAAATTTCGTGCAAGGCTTGGGGTATTTATAATTGAAAGCAATTAGGTTGAATTGGCCGTGTAAAAAGCCTTAAAAATGCAAATTGGGTTTTTCCAAATAACATCGTCACTCGAGCGAGAGCTCAGCGACAAGCGAGCGATGGTGTCTCGCTCGAGTGAAGTCCAGGCGACGGGCGATGCAACTTCTGTTTTTACTGTTTGAGCAATAGCTGGGCGATAGGATAGTGAAAATGCGGCGACGTTTACTCCTTTGTTCCATACTCGAACCCTAAGACTTGTAACTTACTACTTGACCCTTTAACTTTTAAAAACTCTGACAACAATATTAATTTTAATCATTTTGTTCACAAAATTGCCAATTACATTAAAACCTAACAAACTTCTCATTTGACATTCTGTGACAAAACTATGCAAGTAAAGTCAAGATAGTAAAAACACAAAAATCTAATGTACCCAAGTTATGTTTCTTACATTCTTTGATAAACCTGTTTCCTGAAATCAAAACTTAAATATCAAGTGTAAAAGTACGTGATATAGGAAATATAGCAATATAGTCACATGATACCAAAACTTAGCTAGATTGAGACGTTATACTAACGTTAATCCAAACACCGACAAATGCATTAGCATCGCAAAAATATCAAAAACTCAAATAGCTATGTAGATATGATATGGAATGCAATGCAATCAAACAATCTCTCCCTATCAATCTATTTTACTTCAAAAATCTATTCTTCCAAATTTCAACTCAAATCTTCCAAAATCTATCCCTATCGAAACAAAATCCAACTCAAATCCAAAATATTTTCCCCCTTTTTGTCACAAATGACGAAGGGATCGATATGCACAAGAATAATCAATGATCTGCAAACCTTCCCACATACTCAGTTCAAGTTATCATGGAATAAATTGTAAAAGTGACTCATATATGTAAAGTGTCGCTAATCATCCATAAGCAGAACTCCAAACCTTAACTTTGTAAGAAAGAACATGCTAAACATCA